CCAGTGAGTCCTTCCTTCTCATTAGGTGGCCAAAGTATTTGAGTTTCATCTTCAGTATCTGGCCTTCTAAAGAGCAGTCAGGATTGATCTCCTCTAGGACTGACCGGTTTGATTGCCTTGCGGTCCAAGGGACTTGCAGGAGTCTCCTCCAGCACCACAATTCAAAGGCCTCAATCCTTTGGCGCTCAGCCTTCCTTATGGTCCAGTTTTCACAGCCATACATTGAAACTGGGAAAACCATAGCCTTGACTATATGCACTTTTGTCGGCAGGGTGATGTCTCTGCTTTTTAATATGCTGTCTAGATTTGCCATAGCTTTCCTCCCTAGGAGCAAGCGTCCTTTAATTTCTTGGCTGCAGTTCCCGTCTGCAGTGATCTTGGAGCCCAGGAAAATAAAATCTGTCACTAGCTCCATTTCTTCCCCATCTATTTGCCAGGAAGTGAGAGGACCAGATGCCATGATTTTAGTTTTCTTAATGTTGAGTTTCAAGCCAACTTTTGTGCTCTCCTCCTTCCCCCGCATCAAGAGGCTCTTTAGTTCCTCTTCACTTTAGATGCCATTAGAGTGGTATCATCTGCATATCTGAGGTTGTTGATATTTCTCCCAGCAATCTTAATTCCAACCTGTGATTCATCTAGGCCCGCCTTTCTCATAATGGTCTGGTACTCCCATCTCTTTGAGAATTTGCAACAATTTGTTTTGATCCACACAATCAAAGGCTTTAGCATAGTCAATGAAGCAGAAGTAGATGTTTTTCTGTAACTCCCTAGCTTTCTCCATGATCCAGCATATGTTGGCAATTTGATCTCTAGTTCCTCTGCCTCTTTGAAACCCTGCCTGTACTTCCGGTAGTTTTTGGTCCACATACTGCTGGAGCCTAGCTTGTAGGATTTTGAGCATAACTTTGCTAGCATGTAAGATGAGTGCAATGGTGCAATAGTTTGAACATTCTTTGACATTGCCCTTTTTTGGAATTGGAATATGAACCGAACTTTTCCAACCCAGTGAGTTTTTTGTGGAGTTTTCCAAATTTGCTGGCATATTGAGTGTAGCACTTTTACTGCATTGTCTTTTAGGATTTTGAATAGCTCAACTGTCTCCTCCATTAGCTTTGTTGTTGCTCAGGCTTCCTAAGACCGATTTGACTTCACATTCCAGGATGTCCGGCTCGAGGTCAGTAACCACTCTTTCTCCCTTGCTTTTCGCTTCCCTTCTTTTCGCAGTTATTTATAAAGCTTCCTTAGACAGCCATTTTGCTTTCTTGCATTTCTTTTTGTTTGGGATGGTTTTAGTTGCTACCTCTTGTACAATGTTGCGAACCTCCATCCATAGTTCTTCAGGCACTCTGTCTATCAGATCTAATTCCTTAAATCTATTTGTCACCTCTACTGTAGGGATCAGGAATATGATTTAGGTCATACCTGAGTGGCCTAATGCTTTTTCCTACTTTCTTCGATTTTAGCCTAAATTTTAGAAGAAGAAGCTCATGATCTGAGCCACAGTCAGCTCCTGGTCATGTTTTTACTGACTGTATAGAGCTTCTCCATCTTTGGCTGCAGAGCACATAGTCAATCTGATTTCTGTGTTGACCATCTGGTGATGTCCATGTGTAGAGTCATCTCTTGGGTTGTTGGAAAAGAGTGTTTGCCATGACCATTGTATTCTCTTGACAAAATTCTGCCAGCCTTTGCCCTGCTTCATTTTGTACTCCAAGGCCAAACTTGCCTGTTATTCCGGTTATCTTTTGGCTTCCTACTTTAGCATTCCAATCCCTCATGACCTCATTTTTTGGTGTTAATTCTAGAAGGTGTTGTAGGCCTTCACAGAACCGGTCAACTCCAGCCTCTTCAGCATCAGTGGCTGGGGCATAGACTGGGACTACTGTGATGTTGAATGGTTTGCCTTGGATTCCTAAGATGTTGATGTTCAGTCTTGTCATCTCTTGTTTGACCACGTCCAGCTTGCCTTGTTTCATGAATCGTACATTCCAGGTTCCTATGGAGTATAGATCTTTACAGCATCGGACTCTCCTTTCACCACCAGATACATCTCCAACTGAGTGTCCTTTCGGCTTTGACCCAGTCGCTTCATTCTTTCTGGCGCTACTCGTACTAGCCTTCTGCTCTTCCCAGTAGCATATTGGACACCTTCCGATCTGAGGGGCTCATCTTCTGGCATCATATCTTTTTGTCTTTTGGTGCTGTCCATGGGGTTTTCATGGCAAGGATACTGGAGTGGGTTGCCATTTCCTTCTCCAGTGGATACGTTTTGTCAGAGCTCTCTGCTATGACCTGTCCATCTTGAGTGCTCCTGAACGGCATAGCTCATAGCTTCATTGAGCTACACAAGCCCCTTCGCCACGACAAGGCAGTGATCCATGAAGGGGAGACAGAAAAATAGGAGGTGGTAAAGAGTAAAATATAGCAAGAAGTTGGAGACATCTGGAACAGCCTATGTGTAGCCTGTGATCACACCCACAGGATGTTCTGCCAGGAGGCAGGGGTTCTTTTGGGATTTGGAGGCAATGAGCACGCCAGTAGGTGAAGGAAAAGTAATGCTTTATTTAAGGAATAAGAGTATCTATAGGCAAGCAACAGCATTTATCCCTTGCAAGAATATCTTCTCCCCCTTTCAGCTGCCAGGAGCCCCCGTTAGGCAGCGAGAGAGATCTCAGACCATCAGTCACACAGCATCCAGCACCTGATCTGTGTAGAAGCTCCCAAATTCAAGCTTCCCCCCCTCCCTGGTTTTATAGTTGAATGCTTCTGACTCAAACTTTCATTCTGTGCATCCCCAGCAGCTGGCCCTTGAGCTAAACAACTCCAGAGTAATCTAGAGTAATCTAGGATCCTCCTGAATGCTCTATGCCTGGGAGAATAGGATATGAGAAACATAAACACATTCCATTGTATAACTGAAGACTCAGCATAAATCAACATACTTGATTATGGCAACATGAGAAGAAATGGGACATGTCACCTAACTCCTTGCCAGACAATAATCTTCCGCATGTTTTCCCATACACAGGACACATGCTCAAAATATAAACTAGAGAATAGAAAAAATGAAAAATTGGATAACAATAGCAAGGGTTTGATGGCTCCAGGGGAACTTCACATGCCTCCATGCCCATATTTAGCACCAATATTTACTTATCTTAAAAATGCAAGGGTTAGAAACACACCCCTACTTTTCCCCTGTAAGGAAGCAAATGGCAAGTAGCTTGCTTTCTTCCAGTTTCTTTATAAGGCGCAGGAAGCATGGGAAGATATATATAAAGTGTAGCAAGGACCATCCTATTCACCCATAAAAACCCAAGGTCATGATTGGTTTTGAAGGAACAAAGAGGGTTGCTCCGCCTTCCTGCTTTGAAGGCAACAGCGTACACAGTCATGTTTGGGAACACCAGTGAACCAACCCTTTTACCAATCATTGCCAGCAACAGAAGTAAGGAGATTGCTCTGGCTGCATGTAATGAGTAAATGCTCTCACTCTAGAGGAAGGGAAAGCATGTGGGCAATTCATCACCTTTCCAACCTTTAAATAGAAAATGCCCCTAGAGCATCGAGCAAGACCACATTCATTAGCACCCTTCTGTGCACAGTTTTGCATATTTTTCCAGTGTCTGAAAAGAACTACCCAAAAATGAGCATCTGCTTGGATGTAAGTAGGCAGTTCTTCTCAGATGTCTGTGCCTAAGAAGCACAATTCCGGGTAGATACTCTAAGGGAACTTATGATATTCACTGTGGCATCACTCAAGGATTGCATGTTCCCTGATAATCTGAACCCTAACATATTTATACTACAGAAGATGACTCCTTAGTCCATTTGATTGTAAAATTTCTTTGGTAATTAATCTTTCTTGGTAATGAAGCCAACATTTTTGTTTGAATCTGTCTATGAAGTGGGAGGAAGTCTTCTTGCTTAGTCATAGTGCTGATTGCGGATGTGTTCTTGCAAGCTGGCCTGGATTAATAGAAAAGTTCTCAATCTATAAGTGGATGGAAGTTACGACAACATTGTAGCTTAATGGGCAATCACTTGTGAGTGTTGAGAGGCATAGCAGCTGCAGTGTATGTTGCTCTTCTAAATGGAGGATGTTAAGATAACATTGAGAAGACTAACCTATTAATCTTGAAATGCAATGTTGACAATGCAGGTACACGAGTTGATGATGCCAAAGCTTTGATAACAGATAGTGGTCTGAAAATACTTGCCTGTGACGACTTAGATGAAGCTGCTAAAATGGTGAGTTTAAAAGTTTTTTTTAAATAATGTTGCTGTCAAATCCTTGTTATAGCATACTCTAATTAGTCATTGCTAGCCTATGATGGATGAAACAATATTCTTAACTTCTAACATATGCTGGAAATACATGTAAGTCGTGTTCATACATGATGATCATGCTAGATGTATGCACATTGTGATAGTTACAAGAATAACTCTGTGAGCATTCATCCCTGATTTGTATGCAAGTATTAGAATCCTACTAAATCCCAGCTGCAGTTTATGTAGCCAATTTGTTAATATAGTAGAGTATTTGGGAAGTTAATAAAACCCTACCACAGCTGTACACTCCTCAAGTGCTCTCTCACTCTCTCTCGCTCTCTATTTATATATACTTAGGTAAATCTAACTTTTCTAGGGAGCACACTCAGCATGTTTACTGAATGACCCTGCAGGTAACCTACACAGTGAGGGTTGGGTTGTGTTGTGTTGTGATTTGAAGGAGGGCCCTGGTTCAGTGACTGAGAGAGAGAGAAGACTTCAGTGGTGCCCCTTAAAATGGATTGTTGGCCCATGCATTTCAAGCCTTTTGTCTCTTCCTCAGGGGCTACTAGTTTAATCCTTTCCAAGGATAACTAAAACTATACTACTCTCTACAGTACTATTCTATAGTACTGTCTTAAAGTACTATTCTGAGATAGAATATTTTCCTTCAGATGAATTAAACCAGTTGAACTTGGAAAAGAAACTCAAGACTTTTAACATTGTTAGGCTAAGACATCATTTTCAGGAAACTTTTTTTAAAACACATTACACCATACAGAATTGATGTGTACTTAACTGGTTGAATATTTAATCCTGTCTGTCTGTCTCTCTTTCTCTCAATGTATCCCATCCTTTTTATTTTTTTTAATACAGAGAAAAAATAAAAACAAATATAAACATATGAAATACAAATATGTACCATCCAAAATATCAATAATATAACACATAAAATCCAACTAATGAGTAAAGAAGTAAATAATACCATGCCCCCACCACCCAGGAGACAAGTAATACCTCCATTTCATTTCATATATTATGACAATTAACCATATATAATATACTTCAATTATACCCATATCCCCTCCAAAAATTCATATAATCTTGATTAGGCTTACAACCTTTCCCTTCTAGCAATACTGCTTTTACAAAATCTTCCCACATTTCATTATATTTATTTGCTTTTATTAACCCTTTTTAAATTTTTATTTCTGTTGTCAGTTTATAATTAACTACCATATTCCGTATTTCATTACACCATTCATGCCTTTGCATAACCCAATTCTGTTTCCAGTATTTAAATATCACCTGGCTGCTATTATCAAACTTAAGATCAGTTCTTTCTTAACTTCATTTATATCTTGTTTTTCAATCAACAGCAATAACACAATTCTTGGTGACATTTCTAAATTTATATCCCACCACATATGTTTGTAAGTTCCAGTCCCTTTCCCACATCTCCAAGTTAAGTTAAATCAAATATTAGAATAATTATCATCAATTTGATTTAACTTAACTGGTGTTAAGTATCATCTCCATATCACTTTATAGCCATGTTCTTTAATTCTAACCAATATATTCTTATATACTCTTCTATTCCAAATATTCTTCCTATCCTTGTCTTTTATTTCACCTACATTCATTTCCCAAATTGATTTAAACTTTTTGTCTCATCTCTAGCTCTATTAATATCCTATAAATTTTAGCAATTCTTCCTTTGCTTGTATATTCTTTCTTAATCTCACATTCTTTCAAAATTGTTTCAAATTTTGTTAGTTGTCTTTCTTCCTCTTTAAATTTATCCCCCTTCTTTATCCATGTTTCTAACTGAATTAAATTTGACCAATTTAATTTGGCCTCTGCCAATATACTCCTTAATTGTGTTATATTTTTTTATCTTATTTTTCCAATCTTCCTATTTATATATTTGATTATTTTTTTAATTTATTAATCTGATCCTTTGATTCTATTTTTGGGGATTTCTCCCTTTCAACCTCTGGTGTTAACGGAGAAATTCCTGGAATTAACGGCTGTCTCCACTTTTCCCATATTTCTATCGTATTTTTTAAGAAGAGATTTTGAATTCTCTTAATAATTTTTTATATCCTTTTTAAACCAGTATTTCTCTAAATGATCACCTATTTCCCTTAATTCTTTTAATTCAATATTGCTCCATGTTAGTTCTTTACTTTGAGCTATAATATCTGGAACTGTCTTTAACTGATTTGCAACCTAATACTTTTTAACATCTGGAATGTCCAGCCCTCCCTCTTTTTGTGATTCATACCATAGTGCTCCAATAACTTCTGCATTTCCTTTAATTCTTGATCATAGAACTTGATTGGAATCATCCAAAACAACCATTTTTGTTACTGCTGTTCTTCCAAACCATAATAATTTTACCTTTTCATATTTTCCTATTGTATCTTTTATATCCTTCTTTAATTTTTCATAATTTTTCTTCTTTAATTCTTGACTATTTTTTGGAATATCCTAAATATGTAATACTATCTACAATTTTTAATTTATACTTTTCTTTTAATATATCCAATTCTTCACTATTATGATTGTATAACATCATTTCTGATTTTTTCCCAATTTACTTACAACCCACTAAATTTTCCAAATTCCTTTAAATGTGAATATATTCTCTCTATAGTATTTATTGGATCTTGAAATAACAATGTGTCATCTGCAAATAAATTAATTTTAATTTTCTGACATACTCCAATTCCTTCTATCTGTATATCATTTCTAATTGCATTTGCCAATACTTCCATCATTAAAGCAAATAATATTGGGGATAAAGGGGCAACCCTGTCTCGTTCCTCAGCTTAGGAGACTATCCTAAAGAGGAGACAATCAGGTTTCCAAGGAAAGCCCTTATCAAAGAGAGACTGAATGCCAGATCTGGTTTTATGCATGTAACATTTATTCTATGATATAAAGAATACAGAAGTATAAGAATACAAATTCAGCAATCATCAGCAACAATATCAAGAGACCTTATTCACACTTGCATTCACGCAACACTCATACTCACAGCCAATAGACCCTCTCAGTGATCCATTGGGACTGTGGGTGACCAGTTATAGCACTGTTCTGGCACACATGGGAGCAGGAAAGCCCAGGCATTTTATACCTTAAAGTTGATCAGCTTAGTTCAACTGGATTGAACAGTGAACTCCTCTGAGCAGAGCTGACACACACAACGTGCTGGTCATTATCTTGAACACACGCACTCTCATCACATTCCATTGTCTCTCTGGATGGTACAGCGTGGGCTGGTCATTATCTTGAACACACGCACTCTCATCACATTCCATTGTCTCTCTGGATGGTACAGCGTGGGTTTATCTTATCTGTTATGTTCCATTCTCCAACCACTCCTGGCCTCTCAGTTTTCTCAGTCTGGTCAGTCCCATCATGCTTTTTCATTCCTCATTTTCTTCTGGGTCTTAGGCCTTCAGGAACCCATGCACACTGTAATATTGTTTTTTGTAATACCATCGTTTACAATTATTTTTGCCATATTTTCTGAATTCAATTGATTTATTACTTAAACTTTGTTCCAAATCCCATCTTCTCTATTAAGATCTTCATTGTTGGCCATTCCACACAGTCAAAGGCTTTAAATATGCTTTAAAAATGCTAATATGCTTGCCTTTATATTTTGCTTCTCATTATAATAGTTATAATACTCTCCTTACTACATCTGACATCCATTGATGTCATCTTACATCTTGTAAACCCACATCGATCATTCTTTACATATTTATCTATAAATTTATTCAATCTATTTACCAATATTGCTGTAAAAATCTTAGCATCATGATTAATAAAAGATATTGGTCTGTAAGATCCAGGGTTTGTAAGGTTAAATTTGTAACAAATTTGTAAACATGCTCCAGTAATATTAAATATATTGAGTCAAAAGGGAGCTCTGAAGCTACTGTTAGACACAGGGAACTTCATGGTCAAAAATAGAATCCCTGTCTGGGATTAATCTACAGTACTTCCAGAACTGTTTCTACATAACAACATAGGCTCAGAAATTAATAACTGAGCGGGCATTGTTGGCATAATGCAGAGCTCTTCAACATACTCGCCTATTTCAGTGGCTACAGCGTAAGAGAGAATGTTGTTGTTTTTGTCTGCCCAGTTAGTCATGGTTTAACTGAGTCCTGCAAAGATGCTGGAAACAGAGCTAACTCTTTATACCAGTGGTAGCAAACCTATGGCATACGTGCTGCAGTGGGCACACAGAGCCTTCTCTGTTGACACACAAGTCAAGTCGCTCCAGCATCACTGCAGCAGCCAAGCATCGAATAAGGGCCATGCGCATGCTTGGAAAGGAATAGCAGTGCCAGGTGATGATGTCATGAGCCGTGACTCAGTAGCCACGACTTGTCCGAGCTTTTGCATGGCTGGTCAGTGTGCTGCCAAGGATATATATATATTTGCTTGGACTGGCTGTGAGTTGTTTTTTCTAAACTAAAACCTCAGTATTCAGGTTTTATTGCAGTGTTGGCACTTCGCAATAAATAAGTGGGTTTTGGGTTGCAGTTTGGGCACTTGGTCTCTAAAAGGTTTGCCATCACTGCTTTATACACAGTTGGTCACTTGGAAGCTGATGATCATCCAGTTCAAAGTGAGATGACCCATAGAAGCAGTATCTGCCTCCACATTCCTCCTCCTCTATATTTTTGCTAGACAGTCATTTTCAGAGAGGGAGGGAAGGAAAGAGGTTGCAAAAGAGAAAGCACAACTTGTAGCTCTGCCTTGCATTCTCCCCCACCCCTCCCAAACACCCCATTTATCACCTCTCCAAGGCTGAATTCCTAGCCTCAGAAAAGAAAAGAAAAGAAAAAAGAAAAGAAAAGAAAAGAAAAGAAAAGAAAAAAAAAAAAAGAAAAGATGGAGTTCTTTCTGTGCTGGCTGTGGGTTAAGGGGGAGAGTCCCAATCATCTGACGATTATCTAGATACTGTCTAGGAACCATCAGATCATCCCTCATGTTTTCTATCTGACCCTTGTAATGTAACTATTACAGTAAGTATTTAACTGTAGCAATAAACTGATAGAACATTCAAAACAACTAACACAATTGAGAACAAACTACTTGTTTAATTAAAGCTATGTGACTGGGTCTTGCTTAATCATGAAACATTCCATCTAATGAGATTAAAGGTGCAATCTGTGCATGTTCAGGTAGAAAAAAACTGGTATAACTCCCAGCATTCCTAGCTATGAATTGTAGGACTTGTTTTTGTTGAAACCTGCATACTATTGTACTCTAAAATTGATTAAATCATGTTGCTGAATTTTGACCTGAGTGATAACAGTTGCTTGCTTTTGTCAAAGTTGAAGTAGAATTTGAGAGAAAGGGTACACATAATATTCAAATAAAGCATCTCAGCTATTATCTGTAGTTCAGGTAGTTCTTGATCCATCTGGACACATGCAGGCTCTTCAGTGGCCACTTTATGGTGTTGTTTATGCTAATCATTATTTTATTGTCATTTTATATGCTATCTATTGTTGAACTTGTTATGCCTTTAACTGGTACTTGAACAGAATACCTCTTAAATTCTATTTCATTTGTCTTCTAGGTTGTGAAACTTTCTGAAATAGTGACCTTAGCAAAGCAAGCTCAAGTTGATGTTAAGTTTCAGTTGCCAATCTGATTGGACACATGCTTGATGTCCCCAAACCCTCCTTTTTCTATATTTTTTTTTAATACTGTTCTGTTATTTCTTCCTTGCACCCTGACTTTTGTGATGGTTTTCTTTGTTTGACAGATTCACATGTAGTTCCTTTATATTAATATTCAAAATGTTTATTGTAAAAGTATTGTTGTTAATATCTACTTAATTGCAGCTTCCCTCCTTTAGCTTACAGAAACAGAAAGATGTTCTTGATATACCTATTTGTAAACAAAAATAGTTCCCAGACAAAAATGTATTTCTTCCAAATAAAATTCTGGAGTTCATGGGATTTTTGTATTTGTCTCTATGATAAGAAGCATGATGACTAGACTCGCTGCTATGTACACAGCACAGCTTTCATAGGCTATTTAGCAATGATTCAGTAAACACAGATGGGTAATACAAAAGGATATAATAAAAAGACATTATATATTGAAAGTATTTATATTGTGCAGTAGACTGAACAAACATGAGCATATCATTTGTTATTTATGAGACAGTGTATTTATAGAATGCACTCAATGTTTTCTGAAGCAACAACTCCTTGAATATTGTAATTTAATCATGTCTTCATGGCTTTTGGTACTTATTTTTAAGTGTCATCTTAAGTTTGTGCATATGAACAAATAAAGCTTATTTCTTTTAGCACTGGCTACACATAGAGTATGTGTTGTTAAAGTAGCTAATAGATTGCTTTAAAAGAATTAGCATTTTAAATTTCTTTCCACATTTGGATCTTTAAATCCAAATTTATTCAAGGACTGCTGTGACATTACAGGGGTACTGGGAACAATGGAACATGAAATTATTACAACTCGAATACAGTAATAGTATCTACTTACTGTATCTTCTCAGAGATAAGCACTATTGCATTCAATGTGGTTTACTCCCGGGTAAATGTAGGATTACAGCTGAATTATATGATTTATATAATGGTTTAGAGTATACGAAGCATTCCATGAAAGCTTTCCATTGAATAGTTGAAATTCTGGGAATGTACCTGCTCCGGTGAAGCACACTTTATGTTTAAACAGGTAAATATGCACAATCCTATACATATTTAAACAGTAAATAGCTTTTCAGCTCAAAATGCCCCAGGCAACCATGTTGAGAACTGTAGTACTTCTTGTTTAAGCAAAGATTTTTCATACTTAAGGAAAATTTCAGAAATGTAAGGTTTGTAGAATAAAACAAGTTTAGGGGTAAACCGTACTTAGACTAATTGACATGAAGTATGCTTAAACTAAACATCTCTAACTTGATCCCATTCATTTCAATGAGTCTAAATAGAACATGGTTCAATTTTAACTTCATATCTCACAATTGGACCTTCTTCTAAATGGATGCCATTAGGCAGAAACTAATCAATGCATATTAGCATTGATAGGGTTCATCTCACAATTGCAGCTGTTAGAGATACGTGGCACTTAATTCTATGCTAGTTACATTTTGATACATTTTCTAATACTAAACTGATGCTATGAGGAAATATCCCATTTCCCATTTTACCTGATCAGTGGATTGCTGACTTGGTGTTGGTATCTGGATCAGATCACACTTGATCTCAGGCTATATCTCACTTTGCAAAACTTGTATTTCTTGTCTGTGTGACACCACACTGTCTCTTTAATAAGGGTTTGTCTAAGTTGGCTAATTGTTGTTGGAGTTAGCACAGCAAATGGTTCTTTCAAGCATACGTTTTCCCAATGCCCAATAATTGCCCCTTTTTGGGAGGAGGTCATTATAGAGATACATCTTGGATTGGAATATTTAACATATACTGATGTACATAGCCTACCTGCTTTCTAGAAATTAACACACAGCCCAAATGGATTCTCTATGCTCTTCTGATAGCTGAATTCTAATATTACAACACTGGAAGGATAGCTGCCTTACTTCCTGTAATGCAATGGACCTTAGAACACTTTTAATATTTAAATGGCTGGTGTATAGATATCACCTGTGAATGGATATTTATTTAGCAAGTTGGTCTGCTTTTGTTGAAGTTTATGTATATTCTTTGAAAACTGTATTCTCATAAATCTCTGAATTGCATATATGAGAAGGCAATAACAATAAGAGACAGTTGAACGCAGAAGCAGAGGAAGACCAAATTAACACCAGCTCAACAAGAAAAATAAGATGGATGGATTCCATAAAGTAGCTACAGCCTCAAGTTTACAAGAACTGAGTAGGCTTGTTTAAAGGCAGGACATTTTGATGCATAAGGTTGCCACGAATCAGAGATAACTTGATGGCATCCAACAATCAAATTGGCCATTTCTATAGCTATATTTTCCTTCTTCTATTGAGTTGTTATAACTCCAAGTAAGAGTTTAGAAAACCATTTGTCTCCAATTTTACTACCATTCTATGTCTCTAGGTGGGACCTAGGTTGAATTTTCCCCTTTACATTTTGGAAATTTTCTAGGTGAAACACACATTCCTGCAGCAACGCAGCGGACAGGAAGTAGACATTTTGATGCATGTTGAATAATTTCACCACCATTTCTTTCTATTGCGCCTTGATCTGAGTTCCTGTGGAAGATCCTTCAGGAACAATATGAGGATTGTTGGAGTGAGAGAATGACCACGTTCATGGCCAACCTGACCATGTTCATGGCAAAAATACTTGGAATTTCTGGAGAAAGCTATCCTGGAACTAGAAAAGGCTTACTCATCTCCCATTCCTCTGCCTCAAGATCCAAACCAGCCCCATGGAATCATTGCAAAACTCCTGCACTTCCCCACAAAAACCACAGTTTAAAGTGAGTGTGTGAAAACACCTACTGAGGACCCAAGCAGATATGCATCATGATCTTCCCATACTACTCAAAAGATGTGGTGGAAACGAGGAGCCTTCACAGGAGCAAGGAAAATGGCACATGATTGTGACATCTTCCACCTTTGCTTTACCACCATGTTTTGCATGCTACATGATGGCCATTTCCACTCCTTCAAATTTATTGGCTATTTATCACCACCACACTCACAATTTGATTTTCCTCAGTAATTTCTGGTCTGGGTGAAGATGCTGTATGCAGATCCAAGGTCAATGAAACCGTTTCCCCTCCTTTCCCACTGGAAAAGGACACACACCAAGGATGTCCCTTATGTTCAACATCTGTTTAGAACCATTGGCTTGTGTCACCCAGCAAAATAAAAATATACCAAGTCTCACCCATCACAGTACAAAATATAAGACCATCCTTTATGCAGATGATATGTTATTGTTATTGATAACCCCAAAAGCTCTGTATCAAAGCTAACAAGCTTGTTAGATACTTTTGGATCAATATCAGGATACACAACGAATTGGCTCAAGTTGACTTAAGACCCTGGGGACAGACACCCCCCTGCCCTGTTTTCCATATGGCAGTTTAAACAATGCCCCAATGCCATAAGCCTATCTGGGAATAAAAGTCCCCAAAGCCATTTTACAGCTGATCAAACTAAATCTTATGGGCCTTGTAAATTGCCTTGGATGCAGATAGATGGGCCCCCTTACTCTCAGTGTGTGAGGTAAAAATCAACCCTTTAAAAACTAAAGTTCTGCCTTGAATAGTTTATGACAGGGGTCCTCAAACTTTTTGAACAGGGGGCCAGTTGAAAGGTGCCGGAGATGGGCATGGGCTGCCAAGATGATGTGGGCAGGTGGGCGCGGGCCAGGTGGGGGACGTGTGTGCGTGCGCAGAGATCATTTTCTCCAAGCGAGTCCAAAGTAATCTTGCAAGCAAGCTGGCACCTTGCCATGCGCAGGGCTTGCTCACAAGGAGATCGTTTTGGACTCATGGCGAGCTATGGCGGGCTGGATAATTGGGCATGATGGGCCAGATCCAGCTTGTGGGCTGTAGTTTGAAAACCCATGGTTTATGACTTCTGAGGCATACCTGGAGTCAGATATTTTGACACCAGAACTGTAGGTTAAGATAATCATGTACGATATGGAATGTAATGGAATTTTTTCTACTATGATGTTTTTCTACATCTAATCATTGCAAAAAGGTAAACATATAAATCCGCTGTGTGTGATCACAGTGGCAGTTGGTCTTGAGTGGAGATGGGCTCATTCTTTATTATTAATATGCACCTACAATAGTGTCTTTTAATTACAAAATTACTTGCTGGTGTTGTCTGTCTCTCATGTCAGACAGTGAATGAGAGGGACCTCTTTTTTATCCTCAAAGCCCCCATCTAGAACAAGTTAAATAGAGCTGCATGTCATCAGCATTTTGATGACAATGAACTCCATATGTCCTCACTCAGCTGTTTCTTGTAGATGTTAAATAACCTGGGGGACAAGAGTGACTCCTGAGAAACCCTGTACTGGAGGATCCAAGGCCAGAGCAATACTCCCAAGCAGCACCTTCTGGAGCCTTCCATTCAAGTAAGAGTGGAGCCACAGCAGTGCAGTGCTTCTCATACCCAACTCAGACTCAAAAGGACAAAAGTTGACTATGAAAAACTTCTGAGAGGTTCAGGAGAACCAAAATAGTCACACTCCCCATTGTTTTCTCCCACCATAGGTCGTTATGCAGGATAACCAAAGCTGTTTCCATACCAAAACAAGGCTTGAACATGAATTAAAATTAATCCAGATAATCTGTCTCCTCCAAGAATGCCTGGAGTTGGTTGGCTACCATCCACTCAAGAAACTTGCCCAGGAAGGCTGATGTTTCTCACTGGGCTAAAATTGTTGATTTCTTCTGGGTCTAGGAAGGATTTCTCTGGGAGTGGTTCACTCAAATAGAATGAACAAATTCATTGATTAAATATATTAAAATGGATCAAAGTGGTTTTATAATACCACTTTATAGAGACAGATGGCAGATTTGACTGGAAGAGTAATGAATATATTAGAGGTTACATGTAAAGGGAAATTAAAAGCTGTCATAATAGCATTAACTATTTTTAAAGTTTTTGATTGTGTGGAATGGCCTACAATAAAAATATTAATAGAAGCAATAGGATTTGGAAAATGATGTAAAATATAACAGAGAAATTATATTCAGCAAATGTGGCAAATGTGATAGTACATGATGGTATAACAGAGCAAATAGTCCGGGGCCGGGGTACAAGGCAAGGAGGTAACCTTTCCCCAATACCATTTGCTCTAGTTATAGAATTATTAGCAAATAGAATTAGGAATGATAACACAATAAAAGCTATAGGTTTCAGAATGTAGTTAAGATTAGCTTATTTGCTTATCATACTTAGTTAGCAATACAGTTATGAATAAGGTCAGAATACATCTGGAAGAATTTGGAGAGAGAGCAGGTTTAAAGATAAATTGGGGTAAATCAGAGATTATGTTATTTATCTGTGCCAAAGAAGAGAAAGAAAAGATTAGGAATAAATTTAAAGTTGTTGTTGTTAGTCGCAAAGTCGTGTCCGACCCATTGCGACCCCAGGGACATCATTCCTCCAGGTCTTCCTGTCTTCCACCGTCCCCCGGAGTCCACTGTAGCTCACACCAACTGCTTCAGTGACTCCATTTAGCCACCTCATTCTCTGCCGTCCCCTTCTTCTTTTGCTATCTGTTGTTCCCAGCATTAGGCTCTTCTCCAGGGAGTTCTTCCTTCTCAATTAGGTGGCCAAAGTATTTGAGTTTCATCTTCAGGATCTGACCTTCGAAAGAGCAGTCAGGGTTGAT